CCACGGACGTCTTCCGGGTAATACTTCTTCAGAAATTCCCTACGGGATACAGTCCAAGTAATCTCCTCACCTGCAGCTTCCAACACCGGACGGGTCTCTAGCCACCAGTCATCAGCTTCGAAAATTTCGCTCCATCTCCTTCAACCACTTCAACGCACCATCAGGATCATGCTTACCCTTGAAGGTAGGCAGATTCTCTCGTTGAAACGTTGCCAAACTGCGAGACCCAGCATCTCCAGCAGGATTTGGTTGATGTTCCATAGCATTAGCTAGAGCTTGCAGCGTGGCAGCAATTGCAGCATCATTCCTTCCAGCCATTTCACTTAAACTGCAACAGCCAATCGTTAGATTTCACAAATAACGGGACTCTCGTGCTAGGCACGACGACTGACTCGACGACACTAGACAACTTGGCCGGACAGACCAACCTGCTCTGATACCACTAATGTAACACCCCAACTCTAACACTTGCGAATAACAGGAAAAACAACAACTCATATAACAAACAGAGTGCAACAGCGTAAAAATTGCACGCATGACGATCGTAATGAAGGTGTGACGGTCGTCACACGCCCAGAATTCTTCATATCAGAGATGTTACATTCAACTGAACAGACAACATGCATTTATGCAGCCACATTTCAAATAACATACGTAGCACGAAATTGGATGAACAGACAACAACATTGCTTAACATTTAACTCATAATGCAACCAATTCTTATTTCGACGGAATTGTAGTAAAGCTTACAACACGTTCAATTAAAACAATTTAATGAAAATGCCATAACAAGTGCAGCAGCAAAACATCAACTAAAATAATAACGGCAAACGTTCATCCCTCCAAGAGTGCTACGTATCAGAGCGACCAACGACACCTTAACGACAAAGCGGAAACTCTATTCCGGGTCACCTGCAAATTACCACCAATGGCAGTAACATACAACGTAAAGGGGTGAGATATCAACAACATAACATAAGGCATGATAAAAGTCATGTTAGAAATCATATCACAGCAATATAATCTTCGCAAACTTATAAACATCAACGACAATCGTTTGCAAGCAAATTCACATCTCACGTATGCCACAACAACCGACAACCAACATAATTATGCAGCTTTGTGCGACTCAGCAAATGCAACTCAACTGTGCATATGCATGTGGTACCATTTAGGAGCCAACACCCCAAAACTTGGGATAGGAGCTAACACCCCAAAACCCATTTAGGAGCCAACACTCCAAAACTCGGGATAGGAGCCAACACCCCAAATAACCCATTTAGGAGCCAACACTCCAATTAACGCCAATTCAGGCCAACCAAGATGATATGCCATGAAATGCACCTATTATGGACTACAACACAACCATAACGACCATACAATAAAGCTTTATGCTTACAATCAAACTGTCCATAACCGAGCATCATTCTCATACAACTCAAGACATTATCATTTTCCACTTGTTCACGTATGAGAGCATTAACAGCCTTAAATCAACAATTAAGAATTCAACATACGATCGTAATGACAACATATCTGTTTCTATTCACATAATTAATTACAAATCTCTATCAAGGTTTAATTACGAAACAATTAGGACAACTACCCTTTTTCCCCATTTGGGAAACCTTAGAGCATCATACTAATAACGATATAACGCATTCATTTCTACGTATTTGCCCCATTAGGGAAACCTTAGAGCATTGTACTACTAACGATATAACACATTCATTTCTACATATTTGCCCCATTAGGGAAACCTTAGAGCATCGTACTACTAACGATATAACACATTCATTTCTACATAAAAAAACCTCGTCCCTAACATTTATCGATTAATGGAAATTATACCTATGAATCGATTCCCTACATGAAATCGATCATACCCACGGTTATAGAATTGAACTCCACCCTTACCTTAGAATAGAGGCCAATTCCACGCTTCCGGTTCCGGTTCTGGTTTACGGTAACTCTCCTGCAACTTTCTTCCAAGTTCTCTGATGGAAAATTCTTCTGTTATCAATTTCTCTCAACCATGCTATTTTCTTCCTTTACGGTTTCTCTTTTTGTGAAAACTTCCCAATTCAATTGAGCGTAATGGAATATGGGGATACGTTACTAAATTTTTAACATTCAGGTGGCCACGTCCCAATTTTGTTTTTAATTTGGATTTTTCGTTACTATGACGAGCGTAACAAGTTCCTGACGAGCGTCACGACCATGACGATCGTCACATGCCTGTGACGACCGTCATATCAGCAAAATTTCATTTTTCTTAGACATAACATTTCTTAAGCTTTCCAACGCTTCGAACGGGGACTAAAACCGACTTACGGATCGAGAGATATGAATTTTCGAAGTTTTCCTTAAAACTGCTACGGGATTCTGCACTTTTGCCCGAAATTCGACCGATTCAATTCCTTTATTCGAAACAAACACATTTTCAAATACGACCACTACGCAACGAAACACGGTAAAGTCATAACTAAATTTAATCGAAATAAAACGGGCGTTACAATCTTCAGCCTAAAAGGATGCATATGACCATTCTCGAAGATCCAACATATAAGGTCTTCTTCGCTCCCTCCACCTCAACGAAAACTTACGTGAAATAGTTAATATAAGACCACAAGATCTCTTTCTTCTCTTGAATTATCCCACTCAAGGAAACTATTTTCACCGACTGTCTCTTCGGGCAATAAAGTTCACGAAAAACTGCTCACAAAAATCACTCTATGAATTAATGCTCCCGTCTGGCAGACCATTAAACTATAGTCTTGATAGCCCGACCAGGGTTAAGGCAAAAAACTTGCATTTAGAGGCTTCGCCTACACTAAAGCAGTTTAACCGATCGTTGACGAGGTACACGTGCTCATCTAGATCTCCCTTTCCATCGTACTCCCCTAACTTGGGCGACTTCTCTATGGATTTTGGTATTTTGATTTCCAAAATCCTAGTGCACAATGAATGCTTCTGTTGAACCTTCAACGACTAGTTCTTTGCCAGATCGGGAAGGGGAATGACTACCTTGATCTCCCTCGGGACTTTGGGAAGGACTTCAGTGTTTATTGTTACTATGTTGATTCATTGATTTAAGAGCTCCGTCTCTTTTTTTTGCGGTCTCCTCTGGAACGACCATGTGAGTCCTTCTGGATACAACCTCTTGGATAGTGTTCCCTTGCCGAGGCACGTTGTGGAGGCTTTCTTCAAGCCAAAACAACCTTTCTTCTATCGCTTGCGAGTTTTTTTTCTGAACGATGTTATACATGTTGTTCAACAACTCATTAGCACTTTGCAATCTAAGGTTAGCTTGCAGTAGCTAGAAGCCAAAAAAGGCTTCAGGTTGAGAGACTGGAGGTGGAATCAGAGGAGTGATTAGAGGAATTTAGATTGATTCAATTATCTGATAAATTTGAATCATATTTGAATGAAATGGGACTTCTTCTCTAGGATTTGCAACGTTTTGCTGAGGAAGTGGAGTTGATTGATTAACTGTTGCTTGAATTGTGGCAGCGCCAATAATAACGGATCAAGTTGCTTTGGATCCATTTATCACTTGGAAGCGTAAGAATTAGAGATACGGAGATTCAAAGAATTGAAGTTGAAATAATACTTTATTGGATCAGACATAATGGATCTTAATGTTTAATTTCATAGGCTCTTGATTTAGTGGCTTGGGGAGGTATCAAATTGGAGAATTGAATAACAAACATGAAATTATGGATAATGCATGAATCAGAAGTCGATTCATACATACAACACCATTGTTCCGTACTAGAGCTAGAAATGGAATGAGGATTGAAAGTGATGTTGGCTCTGAGCTTCCAGCATGGTGAGAAAGGTTTGCCCTACAAAGTTAGCACTTCAACGCTCATGTTCGTATGTAAGAGAGAATAATGAATTGAAATTAACTTGAAATTTGTTATTTGAATTTGACGCTTTCTTTATATATAGTAGAAAAAGAATAGTGAACTCGCTATATTTTTAGAGTAAATTGTTGAGAGTTGTTAGATGCACTTGTGATCCAAAACAGTAAATAATTAAAAACAAATTTTATAAAATTGTTAATAAATTTCGAGACAAACTATAATTTTGCATATTTTTAACCTTTTGTGCACAAATTTCAAAAAAGACCTATCACTTTTAACAGAGATATGATTTGCATTAACATTCATAAGTTTCAACTAAAACCCCATTTATATAACACAAAAAAGTAATCAAATATTCCACATGAAAAACAATTCTTATATAATACGTAAAGAAAAACAGTTGTCAGATACAAAAATTGCCTCTATATGTCCCAGAAACCAGTTGATCAATTATTTGAGAAACTAATCATTCTTGACTAAAATAGGAGTGTCATATATGTGTTTTATTTCTTTTTAGGGATTGAAAGGAGCTTAATTAGTCCAAAACAAAGGAATCAATTTAATTTATATTGAGATGTAGGTGTCACTCAATTTTTGTATATAATAAATATACTTAGATAAATGCATCTGACTTTTTTATTTCCTCAACTCTTCTTCTTTTTTTTTTTACAATTTTTTTAATTATTTATTTACTTCCTTAACTTCTAGCCAATGATATCATTTTTTATATATAAAAGATATATTATTTTATTTTATCATTGACGATAGATGGTAGTTGAAATAATTGAACAAACGGAGAACCGTAGATGAGAGGCGGCTACAATCTGAACCGTCCGATTAAGATCCAGACGCGTACTCGTGTGCGTGTGTGTTATTTCCTTCGCGCGTTTTCGTACCTTTTTCCTAGCATCTACTACGAAAGATTCTTAATATATTTTCAACGTGCGTAACTAGCCGAGTCAGTGGACCAAGTGAAACTCACTCACACAAACATTGACTCAGTAACTCGCTCTCGCTTCTGTTAAACATTATTTAAATTAAAATCACCGCCTTCTTCTTCATCACACCATTAATTTCACAGTTTCTAGAGAGAGAGGAAATTATTCTTGAGAGAGAAAGTGAAGAAAACTAATGGCCGGAGTTAATCAAAACGGCGTCGCCGAGTTCCCGGCGGTTCAGACTCACGGTGGACAGTTCGTTCAATACAACGTTTTCGGTAATCTCTTTGAAGTTACTGCTAAGTATCGCCCTCCGATCATGCCGATTGGTCGCGGCGCTTACGGAATCGTTTGGTATTGCTTCGTAATCTTCTTTTTTTGGATTTGGATCGGTTTTTTTTGTTTCTTTTTCTGAATCCGTTTTTCAATTAACAAACGGTTTTGGGAATTGAGAAATCTGAATTGTTATGTTGATTTGATTTTTGAAGTTCGCTGTTGAACACGGAGACGAATGAGTTGGTTGCTGTTAAGAAGATAGCGAATGCTTTCGATAATCACATGGATGCGAAGCGTACGCTGCGTGAGATTAAGCTTCTTAGGCATTTAGATCATGAAAATGTGAGTTATCTTTCTCTTACCAAAGTTTAATTGATTAATTTATTTCGTATTCGATTTTTTGTTCCAATTTTATTCGAGATTTCATTATTTCATGTAAATCTTTATTTAACATTTTCCTGAAAAAGATTCCATAAGAAAAATGACACCAAGGGTTCTTAATTACTACCTAATCACTATCATTAAGATAATAAGTGTTGATTGTTGATGATAATTTAAGTTGACTTTTCATGTAAGGGCTATTTGGTAGACATCCAAACACGCCAATAATATGGGTTGTTATCATGGAAAATTTGGTGCCTTTTAGTGACCTACATGAAAATTAAATGTCCAAAAACATGTGTGGTGAGTAGCGACACGTTTGTTGAGATTTAATGGAACCAAGCCATCTCTGTTGACAATGGTGGATGGTGGACCATGATGATTGAGAACAAAAAAAAAACAAGTCAATAATGAAAAAAGAAAATGCTCCAATTATTTATGTAATGATGGATTAAATTCAATATAAATATAGTCTGATGATAACTTCTTGATTTTGGAAGAATACATCATATGACACAAATTTAGTTATAATTTTTTTCTAATACTTTTTACTTGGCTACAGATGAAACTTGATTCATGCCTAATTTGATAGCTTTCATATTGTTTTAAAGTTTAGACTTTAGGTTATAAGGTATCAAATGTGAAAGTCTCAATTTGATAAATGAAGATATATTATTTATTTAGTGATGGTTAAAATGTTTGTTTTTAAAACAGGTAATTGGTTTAAGAGATGTTATTCCTCCACCCTTGCGTAGAGAGTTTAATGATGTCTACATAACCACCGAACTCATGGATACTGATCTTCATCAAATCATTCGCTCCAATCAAAATCTGTCGGATGAACACTGTCAGGTCAGTGTTTTGAGTATCATAATCACGCCTTTACATTACACTGTAATGAACTGAGCTAATTGTTTTGCTGATGATTGGATGCTCTTGGACTTGCAGTACTTTTTGTATCAGATTCTTCGTGGACTGAGGTATATACATTCTGCAAACATTATCCATAGAGATTTGAAGCCAAGCAATCTGTTATTGAATGCAAATTGCGACTTGAAGATTATTGATTTTGGTCTTGCGCGACCAACTATGGAAAATGACTTCATGACAGAGTATGTAGTCACAAGATGGTATAGAGCTCCTGAATTGTTGTTGAACTCCTCGGATTACACCTCTGCCATAGATGTTTGGTCTGTTGGTTGCATCTTCATGGAGCTTATGAATAAAAAACCTCTATTTCCTGGCAAAGACCATGTGCATCAGATGCGCTTATTGACAGAGGTAAGACTATAAAAATCAACGTAACTAATAATTTCCTTTAAAACTGAGCATTATCTTAAATGTTAAATGTTTTTGCTAGTTGCTACTAGCTCATATAAGTTGATGTTCTTAATAAATATCTCAAGCTATTTAATGTAATGAAAACAATCAATAGTTTAATCCTAAGTGATTCTTGTTATATATGCTTACACTTGTTGTCTTTCCACAGCTTCTTGGCACTCCAACTGACGCTGATGTCGGATTGGTGAGAAATGAAGATGCGAGAAGATATATCCGACAACTTCCTCAATATCCTCGTCAACCTTTAAATAGGGTTTTCCCCCATGTTCATCCCTTAGCCATCGATCTCATAGATAAAATGTTGACAATTGATCCCACCAGAAGAATCACAGGTAATTTTCTCATCCTCGCATCAATATAGTCTCTATAGCTAGATAAAGCAACATGCACGTTCATTTCTAACATTCGTGTTATCTGCATTACACGTTGAATAAAATTTTCATATCCACTTGTTTCAATAATGGCAGTTGAAGAAGCACTAGCCCATCCATACCTTGAAAAACTACATGATGTAGCTGATGAACCCATCTGCATGGAACCATTCTCATTTGAGTTTGAACAACAGCATTTGGACGAAGAGCAAATAAAGGAGATGATCTACAGGGAGGCATTAGCACTCAATCCTGAGTACGCTTAAATCAGAGAATGATAGAAGGAATATTAATAAGCAAAAAGAAATTCATTTTCGATTTTTTCATCAAATTCCCAGCAATGCAAATTTGCAAGAAGGAAAGGATTAAGTTGAATGAGAATTCGATCTGTTGCCAGCTAAAACCCTTTAGGTGAGTTCAATGTGTGTGACTAGTTAGGTACAATTATAGCTTGTGTACCAACGAGTACCCTGCCTTCTGTTGTAAAGTGTAATTTAATGATATTAAATTAATTCCTATAATTTTTTTGAACCTGTTTTGTTGGGTTTGTATTTTTTTCTGGTCTGTTTTTTTTTTTTTTTGGTTTACTAAGGACTCAGCATGTAATCTGTTTTAAGTTATTTGCGTTGTTGTAACTTATTGCTACCATGATTTATAGCTTTTTTCTACTATACTATTCGTGTAGTGGATATGAATTCAGTAAACAAAACTTTAGATAAGCAATTCCTGTATGTTTCACAAATTTTGATGCTTTACACTCAAATTGATGTTGTAAGAAACCGAAGCATTCCATTAAATTAATATAAAGAAAGTTACCTTCTACAGAATATACAACGTTTTTTAAATTATCAAATTTATTCAACATCAAGTCAATTGTTTAAAGAATATTAAATCAAAATTTTCATTTCTCGTTAAACCTGCCCATCACTGCGTAGTTGGTAACAATGGAGAAACATTACTTCATCTTTAAATTCCTTCATCTTTATCTTTAAATGGTAATTTTCAATCACTCAATCACTATACCTGAAAAAAAAATCAAATTCAATCATCCATCTAATTAACATTTATTTAGTCAAAACATATACACAACAATCACTATTCCCTCGTTTAATGGTAGCAAATGATGGTCATTTTTACTTTTCAATTATTTTTTAATGTAGCAATGATGACAATTTTTTTTAATTGTTTTTTTTATGTACAAAATTTTTAATACTTAATAAAGTTAATTTAATAAAAATATAATGTTTTATGATAACATAGGCAGTTTTTTAGTTTCATTACAAAAATCTTAAATAACAGTTATTTTAAAACGGATGGAATATAAAAATATCTCATAATTCATGATCTATGTTTAATACATAGAAATCAGAAATGCATTTATATTGATAGACATGCATTTAATATATAATACGAGATACTTCTTTTTAAAAAAAATTAGGTATAACTTTGGCAATATAATTGAATTGTATTAATATATTTAAAAAAAAAACAAATTTCATTCCGAGCACTTACTATTTTACGAGAAAATTTTATTTACTTTGTGAAAATAATATTTTTCAAAGTTTATGTAATTTTCATTAACAAAAGATTAAATTTATAGAGTCAATTGTGATGGAAAAAAGATTTAAAGCTAAACAAAGGTTTAGAGGTATGAAAGTAGCTCTTTTGAGCCTTGGCATTTTCATTCTTCTCATTTCAAGAGTCAATTTTCTTATAACAATAGATAATTATTAAGAGTCATTATGATGAAAGAAGATTTATGTTGGTTTCATTGAAAATAGCTCTTTTGAGTCTTTTGACATTTTCAATGTGTTAATTTTAGGAGTCAATTTTCTTATGGTGACTAACAAATAAACCAACATAAATTTTTAAAATATAAATAAAATTCTTTTCGCAATATAAATATTGTCTAAAGTGCATTCAACTTATGTCATTAAAATATGAGGAAACAGCTAAACCATGTTCATTAAAAAAAGCTGAATTGAGTTAATTTAAAAAAGAAAATATAGTCTTTCATCCTTATACCTTGTGGGAGAACTTTCAGAAGATGAAAAATGATATTAAAAAGAACAAAACCAAATATTATCATTTACAACTTGAGAACAATATTCATTTATAAGCCTCTCCAGATTAACATATAGTTGTGGCAACTAGTTCATTTATATTCATGTAGCACTTTCCTATATAAAACGTGTTATAACAATATAACTCTTTAAAGTTGTGGAAGGATATATTCACCCCAAAAAATGTCAGTGATTATTGACAGATTTGTCATGATGGATCGGAACTCTGGATGTTATGTTTGGTTATTTTAGTACAATCAAATGGTCCAATCTCTTGATTTTTCTTCACCTGTAAACCATAATGAAACAAAGAAATAAGCCATATTCACAACAATACATCATAAAAATAAAAAAGCATAGAGACACCATGAACGAATTGAGAAAAGTAACATTAATAATATGCAACTTTATGATTAAGATAACCCTATAAAAACATTTGTTTATGAAACTTTACCAAAGTGATATCAATGGTTGGGAATGAAGATTGGGACTTTGGTGAAATGACAAAGGTTGGTATAGGGCAGTGAAAAGTCATTTGTAAAGAATGTGAAATTCCATAAATGTTCCAGTCATCCTAACTCTAATGGGTTATCTAATCAAAAATACAAATATCAAATGCCTAGTTCTAGTATTTTACAATTTTAAAGTTAAGAATTGAATTCGTAGAAATTACACACGAACAATCTTACGCTTTGAATTTGAATCAAATCTAGATACTGAAAAATGGACCTACCGGTGACCAAGGGTTCGGTTCATTCTGGACTTTGTCAGGAGGAGAGTTTTGTACAGCGCCGCTTTTCATCGTTAAAATCTCCTGCAGACGCAACAAATAAGATGAATCAAACATGGCAAAAATCACCACATTGCAAGGAACTAATTGCTTTATGTAATGTCAGGAGCCTTAACCTTAAAAACAAGTTTGATTCCACTGCCATATGCAATTCAAACAATGGTAAACATTTAACACAAACAATTACTAACAATTAACTAACTTTGACTGTTTAAAAAAATCAATGCAAACATACAACATAAATATTAAAAAGGGTCGATGTTAAAGGCCAAAAAAATGGCAATGTAACTTGTAAGACTTCAAAACAGAAAAACAAGTTGGCATGAAATACTGTCAGGAAAAGAAACTTAGTAATTAGGGATTAAAAGTATGGAGTTCGCTTAAGAAATTTGAGTCACCTCTCCAGCTGCTTCTATTGCAGCTAACCATTCCTCAGTAAAGGGAGCAACATTCAGTGGGGGCTTCGCTATCGGAACTTCCTGCTTGGTTTTAGTTGCATCTATTTCGCTGCCACTCACAAAATTAACATTGGTCACTCAATATGTAACGCTTCAAAACTCTTAGATTTAAAATGGAGGCTGCCAAAGCATAGATGAACAAAAGTTATACGACAAAAATGATACTCACAAATGAATTATTTTGCTGTTGTCTTCCGGAAAGTCGATGTTGTCTTTTGACTTACTTGGCATGTCAGTATTAGGAGACTTGTCATTCTCAAAGACAGTAGTTACAGCTGCATCTGATAAAATTTCACTGTTCACTGAACTAACTTCATTACCTTGTGGGATTGTTTCAATGAAGATTGGATTATCTGAATCCAGTAACTTCGATTTTTCACTTACAAGACATTGCTCCTCAGGTTTCCAAGCAACTACACTTGTAAATGGCCCTTCACTCACTTCAATAGAAGAATCTAATTCAGTAGAAATAGCATTCCTATTGAGTTTCACTGAACTAACTTCGCTGCCTTGTGGGATTGTTGCATTGAAGATTGAATTCTCTGAAGCTAATAATTTTAATTTTTCACTTAAAAGACAGGAGCCTTCACTCACTTCAATAGAAGAATCTAATTCAGCAGAAATTGCATTCTCATTGAGTTTCATTGAACTAACTTCGCTGCCCTGTGGGATTGTTGCATTGAAGATTGAATTCTCTGAAGCTAGTAATTTTGATTTTTCACTTAAAGGACATGGATCTTCACTGACTTTAGTAGAAGAATCAAATTCAGCAGAAATAACATTCTCGAGTGGAATTTCAACAGAAGGAGATATATCTAATGAACCTTCTTCTGCACCATTGATTTGCAAAAGTTCCACCTTTTCATCCACACCTTGATTTCCATCTTTGTTTACAAGCCTATCTGAACTTAGTAACTTCGAATTTTCACTTAAAATACACTGCTTTTCATATTTCAAAGTAACTCCAGTTGTAAAGAAATCTCCAGTCACTTCAATAGAAGAGTCACATTCAGCAGAAAAAAAGTTTTCATTGAGTTGACTTTCAACTAAAGGCAGTAGTATATCTGACAAACCTTCTTCAGCATCATTGATTTGCAAAAGTTCCACCTTCTCTTCCACATCATGATTTCCATCTTCTGCACCATTGATTTGCAAAAGTTCCACCTTTTCATCCACATCATGATTTCCATCTTCTACATAATTGATTTGCAAAAGTTCCACCATTTCATCCACATCATTGATTTGCAACAGCTCCACCTTTTCATCCACATCATTAATTTGCAAAAGTTCCATCTTTTCATCCACGTCGCAATTTCCATCTTCTGCACCATTGATTTGCAAGAGTTCCACCTTTTCATCCACATCATGATTTCCATCTTCTACATCATTGATTTGCAAAAGTTCCACCTTTTCATCCACAGCACGATTTCCATCTTCTGCACCATTGATTTGCAAGAGTTCCCCCTTTTCATCCACATCATGATTTCCATCTTCTGCACCATTGATTTGCAAGAGTGCTACCTTTTCACCCATGCCATGATTTCCATCATCTGCACCATTGATTTGCAAGAGTTCCACCTTTTCATCCACATTATGATTTCCATCTTCTACATCATTAATTTGCAAAAGTTCCGCCTTTTCATCCACATCAAGATTTCCATCTTCTACATCATTGATTTGCAAAAGTTCCACCTTTCTATCGACATCATGACTTCCATTTATGTTTACAGGCATATCTTCAATATGATGATGATTGGTAGCATTGTGCTCATTGCTATGGAACCCATATCCTTCAAATGCATTCTCAACTAAATTTTGGTCATTGATTTCTGTAGATGAAACAATAACTATTGGCAGAAAGTCACTATCCAAGTGAACATCCTGGGAATTTACAGCAACAACAGCACTAGGCTTTTGAAACCCAGGAAGACGGGAATCTTCATTTATGTTATTAT